TGCCAGAAGCCCTAACTGACAAGAAGATACCTATTGTGCGAAGATTTGTATCTTCTCTGAAACGACAAACATCTTTCTTACATCTTGCTCAGGTAAGTTGGTAAGCTGTTAGTATTTGTCACTGAATTTAAGGAAAGGTTTGAGGAACTTCCACAGATTAAAGGAAACTAAATAGACAGCACTTAAATGGAATGTGAGATCCTAAAGTGAATGCTAGAACAAAAAAAAGGACATTAGTGGGAAAACTGGTGAAATTCGAATTATGTCTGTAGTTCAGTTAATAGTATTGTACCAATGATAATTTCCTGACTTGGGTCATATGCAATGGCTATGTAAGATGATAAGAACCTGGATGGAGAGTATTTGGAAATACCCTGCACTATTTTTGCAACTTTTCTGTGATTTAAAATTATTTCAAAATAAAAAGTAAAAACAAATCTTCTGAATGTAATCAAAATGTAAAACATTTATTTGCCATGTGAATCCAATTGGTACAAATTAAAGTTCTGGGAAACGAGCTCTTGTGATATTTAATGTGAAACTCACAAACCCAACGCATTTTAAACTGCCTAATAATTATGGCTCTCTTATATACGGAAGAAAAAAAGTAATTCATAAATGAGAAATACCATATTTGTATTTTGTTAAAACATACTTCCCCTCCCCTCAAATGATCGGTTCCCTTATGAGGGTTTCTTGTCCCCTAAATGTTAAAAGACTAGCTTGGGATAGTTCCAGATAGGAAATATAACATTTTTAAATCCTTATTTTATGACCGTGGACAAAAAAAAATTCATTTTCCTTTACTAAGTCCAAAAATAATTTTCAAGCCTTTGACAGAGATGATTATGAGTCTCAGCTATGGCTTTTAGTTTTAAAATAAGAAAAAAGTTACAAATGATCCTTTCCCTCAAGGAACTATTTTTTCTCAAAGCTAAAACCTTCCTCTAGATGGATTATAAATGATGTAGCATAGTGTCTTTTTGACTTTCTTCGTGCAGATTGCCAGACCAGCTCTCTTTGACCAGCACGTCGTGAACTCCATGGTATCTGACATCGAAAGGGTTGACTTGAATAGTATTGGATCTCAGGCCCTTCTTACCGTTTCAGGCAGCTCAGACACTGAATCTGATATCTACACTGAACGTAAGTCCATTCTCTTTGTTTGAAACAAGGTTTCCCAACCTCAGCACTACTGACATCTTGAGCTGGGTAACTGCTTGTTGTGGGGGGCTGTCCCCGGCATTGTAGGATGTTTTGCAGCATCCTTGGCCTGTAACCACTAGATGCTAGTAGCAGCACCTCCCCCAAGTTGAGACAACCATAAATGTCTCCAGACACTGCCAAAGGTCCCTTGGGTGGCAAAATCACATCTGATTGAAAAAAACATAGTTTATTAAAACATTTTTAATTAAATAATATTTTTCCTCTATTCAAAAACAGTTGTACTTACTCATTGTGGAAAACCTGGAAAATACAGACAATATGGAGAAAAATAAAAATAATCTATAATCTCGTTGCCTAGAAATAACCAAAATAAAATAACCTGGAAATAACCAAAATGGTTTTATGCTTTATGAGTTTTCTTCCAGTTGTACATTACACGCATACACATTTACATGTGTTTTATACTTTTGTCATCATATGCTGTATGATACATATCAAAATGATATTTCGATACAATACTGTTTTTCAAAGGAGACTCTCTACTCAAGTTTAGAGCATCTGACAGAACTTACCAAGCCAATATGTGTGACTAGACAACTAGGCTTGATTTCTGAGGAATAATGGGCCACTATTTTTCCCTCCCTTTCTCTCCAAAAAGACAAAAAACACAGCCTCCTATATAGCACAAACGATGGACTGCTCTCTGGGGTCCAACCTCAACCCTACTTTTTATTTCCTAACATAAAATTTTATTACCCTTGAGATTCAGTAAACATCAAACTCTTTAATAAAATGATAGTCCTAAACTTTCCCTCTAAATTTTATATTATGGAAGGTTATTCATGTATGTGGCTAAATTCTGCAGTGCTGAATTTAATTTTTGCTAAAGATAAAGGATATTTCAGAAAGCAGAAAATCAACAAGCTTAGCTTGGTTCATTCATTAGCTTTCAACTATTCTGTTCAATTTAATGAAAACACTGGATTCAAAATGAATATTCAACTATATTAACAACTTATTCATCCCTAGTACCTGTATACATGTATAATATATGAGCCTGTATTTCAATACATACCTATATATATATACTTCAGATTAAAATTTTGATGAATACTAAGAATTTTTTATTGCTGTTCTCAAGATATGAAATGAATTCCTTTCACACATCTAACGTAATCTGCCTGATTAAATTAACTTGATCTACCTACTCTTTTATGCTATGAAATTATTGGTGATTCCTAGTTTTAGGTGTTCTTTTATGAGACTTGAGTGCAATGTTCTGCTTTCTTTTCTTTTCTTTTTTTTTTTTTTTTTAACTTGGTAGATGACTCTATCACTGTGTTCCAAGAACTGAAGGATCTCCTTAAGAAGAATGCCACCGTGGAGGCTTTTATTGAATGGTTGGATACTGTGGTAGAACAGAGAGTTATTAAGGTACTTTTTAAATGACAGATTCAGAAAATAAATTTTTTGCTATGAGTAAATGCTAAATTGGCTGTAATTTCTTGACTGGTGAGGGAGGTGGCAGGCTGTGTGTATCAAGGCTTTGAAAAGCTTTGACACTTTACACATAAGGCAGCCCAAATATCAAAATTAGGAATATGTCAGATTTGAGAGCATTGGGCATGGATTCCATTCTATTTTTCCTTTCCTGACCAAGGACTACAAGATGCTCTGCCTTCCGTATCAGTCAATAAAGTTACAGCTGAGTAGCATCGATAGAGAAGGATAAACTTAGAAACTGGAAAGATTTGGCCCTTTTCTAAAATGTAAGTTTTTAGAAATCCTTACAGAAAAATATGGTTTTAAGCATTTGCATTTCCGAATTCCAAAAGCTCAGTATTTTGTGTTTTCTCTGTGGTTTCTTCAACTTTTTCAGTTAACCTTCAAGTCATCCATCATGAAACAAGGCAATAAGAACAAATATATCCATCACTAGTTGGTGTTAGCCATTCCATATCAAGGAAACTAGTTATAGTTTGAGGACTTTTTTCTTCTGGAAGGAAAACAGATTATCATTCAGGAACCAGAGAAGTCAGAGTTAATCATTCACAGAAATATATAACCCTTCCTTCACACTTCACCTTCTGTTCTTTTTTAAAGCTCTGTGAAAGGAAAATTTAAAAATAAAAGTACTTTGTAAATTATTTCATTTTATTGTTTAATTCTATTAGGAAACAAAGCCATATAAAATAAAGACTTATCACCCTTAAAATGACAGCCTAAAATTAAATCTCTGGAAGGATGGTTTTGTTTGACGAAATAAATGGCATGCCATGCCATCTGTCCATTTGTCAAACGTCTATTTACCTCTTGATCTAACATAGGATGCGTGTAGTAACGAGAGGACAGATTTTATAGTTTCATTTTGTTCCTTTACTTTTAGACCAGCAAACAAAATGGAAGATCATTAAAGAAGAGGGCTCAAGACTTTCTGCTAAAGTGGAGCTTTTTTGGTGCTCGAGTAATGCATAATCTCACCTTGAACAATGCATCCAGTTTTGGTATCCTATGTGCTTTATAAAATTCTTATTAAGTGAATTATGTCATTCGTTCCCCAGTAACATCTATCAATTTTTAAACATGTTACACGGTCAATTCTCAAACTATACTGAATATTGAGCTGGTAGAAAACAGTACTTACGGGACTGGCTGGGTCTTGGAGTCAGACTACATGCAGGGTTACGTCCTAACACTGCTTCTCTCTGGCTGTGGGCTTTACCCAAGCCAGTCTGCTCAGTGAAGAAGAATATTCTCTTTATATCTCTTTATATACCCTTGTGTAGGTGCTTTAGTGAGATGACATATATAAAAACACTTTGCATAACTCTCAGCAAACTCTTAATGAATAGCAGCTATTATCATTAGATTCCATCAGTGCTGGGAAAAATTTTCTTTGTTAAACAAACAAATAAACAATAAACTAAGACATTATATTCCAAAGGGATTATTCATTGCAATATGGCGAATTTTTGCATCTTTTCCGGGAACTCACATAGCTGCATTCCAGGAATCAAAGAGCAGCTTAAAAGACACACCTTCCATAAATTTCTGGACTATCTTTCCTGATCTATATGACTTATGAGACACATTGAGTCATATTAGCTTTTCCAAAAATTGAATACCTTTTTTTCCCTAAAATTTCTGAGGTTCATATTTTGTAGTTAAAATGCTAAACTCATGGGCAGTAAGTAACTCCAGTAACTCTACATTTAATAGCTGCATTTCAAGAAATCTTCACATTGTGAAACAGATTACAATTAACTACATTGTTTTTATTTAATGTTTAATGGAATTAAATAAAATCAGTGAACTGTATTGAGGGATGAACTAAATGTGTTAAGTCTATTATTTGACATAGACTTACTCATATTTAAGATTTCTTAAAATGTACAGCATTGAATCCTGACTTTATTATGAAAAAAGACTTTTGCTGGGAGATCTGTTGAATAGTTAAAAGAAGTTTAAGGTTTTCAGTACATCTTTCCCATGAAAATTATTCTTTTAATTTTTTTAATCAAAAAATATTTTGTTTCAGGCTAGAAAGACATCGCCTTACTGGATGCTTTTTTCAGACCATGTTTGGCTATTGTCTAATTATTTAGTACAAAGCAAACAGAAATAGAGCAAAGTAGAGCTCATTCTCCCCAGGTTAAAGCTTATCACGCTCCAATGTGTGCCCTCTTAAAGCATAAAGCATGTCTCACTTTCATCCGTATTTTCCTTTGATGTAATTAGTGGCCAAAGAGCTGGCAGGACAGTACACACAGTGAGCTGGGCAGGCGGTACACAGAAAGATTAGAGACCTGAGTTAAGCATGTTGGTCTTAGCAGGTCATTTAAAGTCCAACAAGTATTTGTTTATATCAGTTGCTCCTTGTAAAATGTTGCGAGATGGTCACAAAGATAACTCTCTCTTTCTCTTCCCCTCTCTCTCTCTCCTTTTTTTTTTTTTTTTCATTTCACAATGTCCTCTCCCCATTTTTCATTCATAAACAAGGTTCTTTCCATTTGATTCGAATGCTTCTTGATGAATACATTCTCCTGGCCATGGAGACCCAGTTTAATAATGACAAGGAGCAGGAATTGCAGAATTTATTGGACAAGTATATGAAGAATTCAGGTAATTTAAAATAGCTATCTTATTTTGCATATTTCTTTGTTTAAACTTAAGTTCAAGACTCTGTAAGTACACGTTAAGTGGGTTGATAGTAGTTTCAAAATTTTTCCCCAAATACATCACTACTAACACCATATACCAACACTATTGGAGAACTATTTTTTCTTTCATTAATTTATACATAGAGTAGTCAAGTTGCTTTACTGGGAACTCTGAAGGATACAAAATTGATGTTCTTAATTTCTGAAAATTTAGATGAAATTGAAGAAGTGATTATAGTACAAAAAATAACCAATTCAAGACAATACACATGGTATACTACATATATAAATGGTGTAGAAATAAGTTCTATAGGAGTTTAGAGAAAGAAGGGAACACATCTACTTGGGATGGGACAACTTGTATTTTGAAGACTTCAGCCCAGAGTGGATTATTTAGTGCCCCTCAGAACATATCTACACCCACAAATACACAACTAAAAACCCACCCCATTGCCAAGAACAAAGGTCTTCCAGCCTTGTTTTCCACGGAACACATTGCTTAGGAGTTTCCAGATTAATGACTCAATCATGAAACATTTTCAGTTTCTTTTACTTGGATTTATCTACTAGGAATATGGGAATAATCTCGGCTCTCCCATTTAAAAAAAATCTTCCAGATGCAAGTAAAGCTGCTTTCACCGCTTCTCCAAGTTCATGCTTTCTGGCTAACCGTAATAAAGGGAGCTTAGTTTCCAGCGACACCGTGAAGAACGAAAGCCACGTGGAGACAACCTATCTTCCTCTGTCATCCAATCAGCCTGGAGGCTTAGCCCCTGCTCTGCACCCGTTCCCTGCTGGGAATACAGACAGCATGCCGCTCGCAGGTACCCTGTGAAACAACGAGGAGAACCACTTAGCTAGAACACATCTCAGAGGAGCCTGTCCCTTCCTTTGTCTTATGATTTGTAACCTCTCCAAGAATAAATAAGGATTATCTTAACTGGCTTTTAGTACATATTTATAATATTTTTGTAACTTTCGGCAGTTATCATTCAATTAATGCCATTATTAATATAGGTGTCACATTTTGACACACTTGATAAGTTATATCAGGAGTATAGATAATTAGTTGTCTTCATGTAATGGAAGAAAAATTAGGTTAGGTGTGCATAAAATCCTTAAGATGCTTTGAAGATCAAAAAATGGGTAGCTAATTTATTTTTGGCTTTTCAGGAGACTGTTTCTCCTCCATTAGAAAGTGGATTTGGGCATTTTAGGATAACCATTACAATAATTTTCTCTTTTGGTTTGGGGTCCTCTTTGTGTTAAAATTAATGTTTAGTGGCTTGAACTAGTTATTAGGGAGTATTTTAAATCTGCTTATTGCCTTGTGTCTTTTTTGAAATCCTTTTATATGCAGTACTTCATTGGACATACAGAATTTTAAAACTGGGAGAGCCTTTATAGTTCAAGGATCCAATTCCACACATGGAAAATCAGAGGCCCAGGGAGTTGGTGGCATTCATAAATTGCATTGCTCATCCATGGTGTTAGCATGATATTTTTGAATTGACTGCTTTGAAGCCATGGCCATTTTGACATTAGTGCCTTTTTGTTTTACTCTAAAAATCAAACCATTTAACATTCAGCTTTTTTTTTTTAATTATGGAGAAATGTAAGCAGCAGACTCCTATGTCCTTCCCAAGCATGAATGAGTTCTAACCATCTTCATACCTGTGGGAGTATGAGGTCCTCCCAGACTTTCCTCTGTAGTCACTAACTCTGAGTCTCTACTATTGTGATTTATACATGTGTTGCAATTTTATTTTTTTAAATCTGGATTTTTAGTGTTCCCCAGTTCAGTTATTTTTGGAGAGTAAGAATGAACCAAGTTGGAAAAAACATATATCAATAAACCTTTTGAATATTTTTTAAAGATGTGAGCACATCTACTTTAATATGACACCAAGTGACTGTTCTGGTAATTTTTTTTCAGGTCAAATGGAGCTTTCTCAGAGCACGGGCCCTCTGATGACACCACCCATTTCTCCAGCCATGGCAAGCCGAGGAAGTGTCATTAACCAAGGGCCAATGGCAGGGAGACCCCCAAGTGTGGGCCCAGTATTGTCAGCTCCGTCACACTGCTCGACATACCCAGAGCCCATTTATCCTACTCTCCCTCAAGCCAGCCATGACTTCTATGGGACCAGCTCTAACTATCAGACTGTGTTTAGGTCACAGCCCCACCCCCCATCAGGACTCTATCCTCATCACACCGAGCATGGTCGATGCATGGCCTGGACTGAACAGCAGCTTTCTAGAGACTTCTTTAGTGGCAGCTGTGCTGGATCTCCATATAACTCCCGGCCACCTTCCAGCTATGGACCATCCCCACATGCCCAAGATTCACACAGTATGCAGTTTTTAAATACAGGAAGCTTCAATTTCCTGAGCAATGCAGGAGCTGCCAACTGCCAAGGAGCAACATTGCCTCCTAATTCACCTAATGGTATTAAAATTTTTAAAGAACTTTTCACGACATTTGAGATGGCCAATAAGGCAAAATTGGACATTGAGTTCCACCTCTGCTGAATAGCATGTCATCTCACGTCAGGCTTCTAATGATCATGGAATCTTACACATTTGGAGCTGATTTCTGCCACATGCAAATATATTCCCTAATTCTTATGCCTTTATTAAAATTGCCCTTCTAAATGCTACATATGATAAAAAAAAATGTGTCAAACCATATGCTTGAGACCAACCTTAATAGCCCCAAAGAAGAACATTCTGTCTTTTAAAAATATTTTTAGTGGACAAAGTTTCTTCTAGAGAACTAAAAGCAGACTTTCAAGATTTAGAACAAAACAATGTCCCCCTTATGTTGATAAAAACTTGAAATTAGGGGAGCTAGAAAGATCAGTGGACACCTTCAGCCACCCAAATAGGCTTTGTGTGTAAGCTAGTCTGATGCCTTTCTCCTAAAGGTAGGCCAGTCTTTCTCCTATAAATATGAGTCTATAAATAAAAATAGTATTTTCATGAGAGGCTAATAGTGCTTTTTTCTTTCTTCATAGTCAGATCTTGTTAATTTAGATAAGGGAAATATGAGAGAGGTATAGTCTGTCTCAAAATTAATAATGTGACAATTCTTTTGTATTTTTTTTTAAAAATCAGCATAGTAAACCATATCCACATATAAACGTAAATCCAACTCTATAGCAAACATAGATATAAAAGTAATATTTATCGTTTGACATCTTTAGGGCTCTACCCAATTACTTTGTCATTTTTTTCTTTCCTGAATGTTCTTTATAATAAGTCAACAGCACATTCTCAACACTTTCTGTTATAGGATACTATGGGAGCAACATCAGCTACGCAGACACGCACAGACTCGGATCAATGGTGAATCAACACGTTTCTGTCATCAGCAGCGTTCGCTCACTGCCTCCCTACAGCGACATCCACGACCCACTTAACATTTTAGACGATAGTAGTAGAAAACAGCCCAGCTCGTTTTATGCAGACACATCATCTCCAGTTGCATGTCGGACTCCAGTACTAGGTAAATTATTGTAGTAGTTCTTGAAAACATTTTAAAAAGTCATTGACCTCGGGTATGCAGCATTACTTCAGAGTGATGTGTTTAGATGAACTGAGCACTCGCATTCCCATAGTTGATTTATCACTTTGGATCTGAAGTTATGTTGTTGTATCTGAATATACACAGTTCCTAACAGTTTTCCAACTTCTTATTCTATACATCACTATTATGCAGCCTACTGCTAGATCTGTTATTCTTTCAAAATAAATAGCTGACATCTGTTATGTATGCAAAAAATTAACCTGTCAAATGCAGTCTAGAGCTATTAATTTTACAAGGACAGGAATGGTGTCTTTTTCTCACTCTCTCTTGATTTTGTTGGACCAACCCACTTGTAGTGCCAAGAGGTATGTTTGAACTTCATAATCTTCATCATTACCTGAAAACCACTCCAGGTTTTTTAAAAAATAGTGTCCTATGGTGGATGCTACTATCCTTTTCTTAATCTTTTATGTAAAATGTGATTTGACTCTGTAGAAAATTTTGCTATTTTTATTGTTCTATAACATACAACTTAATTAAAAATGAACAAAACTGTGCTGGCCGTGAAGTCTCCTGGAATCTTCGTCCAATCAGGTTGTCATCCCTAAGCTTCATCTATGAAGAAATTCTGCAACTTGTAATAGATGCATCACCAGCACTTAGCAAAAAGTCTGGCACATAGTAGAAACTCATTTACTAATGAATGAAAAAAGAAGTAAAAACTAAATCTATACATAACATTTAGTCTATAAATAATTAATTAGTATGTTATTACTAGTAACATAGACTTAGATATTAAATCTATGTATTGATTTAGTTTCTAAAATTACTAATAAGGTATCACAGAGAAAGTATATATTCATTAAGTATCAAGGCAGAGTATTAATGTTTATTTGAGATGGTTGAAATATCCCCATGGAATTGATTTCAGGCTAGCATAAGTAAAGTGCATTGACACCCAACCAGAGCGTAAGGGAAAATAAAGTAAATTTCATCTGTCCTCACTCAGTGTACTTATCCAATAATTCAATAGGAAGTACTTCTTCCTCTCCTGTTGACCATCACAGATGCTCCCTGAGCAGAGTCTAGAAGCTCATCTCCTGCTATCTGCAAATGGTCATTGCTTCTAGGTTACTCTAATGAAGCAGAAAATTCCACTTCAGGAAGTTTCTTCACCATGAGACTAAAATGTACTGTGTTGCTATTGTTACTATTAGTTCTATTTACTTGTAGAGATAGTGGAAGCTTTGATGAAACATAGGTTGGGAGTAGGGTGGATTCTAAGCATTAGTTGTTAGAGCTGGCTTACAGGTAGATTGCAAAGTGGGCTTCAGGGTGAAAAGAAGGAATAGAATAGGTAGGTAGGTAGTGCAAGGGGAATTGAGACCCACTATAGGCTTCCTTAGTTATAAAACCTGGTTCTTAGTGACAGAGAACATTCCATGTAAGCTATAAGAAGGCAGCAACCATACATTATGGAAATATAGAACAAATGAGCCTGTCAGTGAATATTTTTGAGAACCTACTATGTGCCAGACTCCATTCTAGGTGTGATGATATGGTAGAAATCAGGCCATAGTTCCTGCCTGTAAGAAGTTTACATTCAAGTGGGGAAAGAGTAAGGCAATGGATATATAAATAAATGCATTAAAAAGATAATTTCAGGTATTTGGAAGTCAATTAAATAGGGTAAAATGACAGATAGTAGTGGAGGAGTTGCTTTAGATAAGATAGTTGGGAAAGGAATTCTGAGGCAGAAACATTTGAGTTGAAAGCTGAGTGAAGACAAGGAGGCAGTGACTGAAGACCTGAGGGAGGAGTTCCAGGCAGAAGAAACAGCAAGTGCAGAGGCTCTGAAGTCAGAACATGCTTGGAAAGATCACTGGGCAGAAAGAAGGCCAGTGTGGCTTAAGCATGGTGAATGAAGGAGAAAGTGGAGCACAATAAATCAAAAGGCAGGGATCAATCCACATAGGGCTTTATGAACCAGGGCAAGAAGCTTAGATCTTGTTCAAGAGTATGTGAAGTCATAGAAGCATTTGGGAAGAAGAGTGAAAGTTTGATTTACACTTCAGCAAGATCATTCTGGCTACTGTCTGGAGGCTGAGAGGGTGAGACAAAGGTGAGGGTCACAGGACCAGTTAGGAGGCTGCTGTGTTGCTCCAGGTAAGAGAAGGTGGTGGTTTGAACTACAATGGTGGGTGCAGATAGAAAGAGGAGGTAGATTGGGGGATACATTTGGGTGGTAGAACTTCAGTTGAAACTGAGTTTTCTTTGTAAAATATGTAGAAGTAAGGATTTCTGGAAGTATAGCAAGTGGGAAAAAATGAAAAAAGATGATTGCTTTGACAAACCATACAAACTCAAACTTAGAGCAGGTATATGTGCTAAATGCAAAAATAAATACAGAGGCTTACAGTGAGTGATATTTGCAAAGAAAAGAAAATGTCAATCAATTTTCAATTGCTGATTATATTTTCCCTTACAGCTTCCAGCTTGCAAACCCCGATACCTTCCTCCTCATCCCAGTGTATGTATGGAACTTCCAGTCAGTATCCAGCCCAAGAAAGCCTGGACTCCCATGGAACAAGCAGTAGAGAAATGTCCTCTTTACCACCCATCAACACTGTGTTCATGGGAACAGCAGCTGGAGGCACTTAAACCAGCATTGTTGGGGAGGTTGAAACTTTAAAAATCTCTGCTGTGCAAATATTATTATTCATTCAGACTACCATAAGAGTAAAGAAAATGGAATATGCAATGGCTGGACATTATTTTTCAAGTCACTTGTACTCTCGACAACTCCATAGTGAATGGAGATACTTGCAGAGTTTGCCTTGCACACAAATGGTTTAAAATGTGATCTCATTATTAATCACATTTTCAAAAATTATCAAATGAAACCAGTGGAGATTCGAAGATGCAAACATTTCAACTATAAAGATTTAATATTTCATCTTCTAATTTATTAAAAATTTGTGTGCCCTTCCATCTTTGGTTTCTAAGAAAGAGAAAAGTATATTTAATGCCTTTACAATACCTTTAATTTATTAGGATCTCAGAATCATTGTTTACTATCCCTATTTGACAAAAAGTCAAATGTATGTTCTACCTCCTATGGAAATGTTTACAAGGTCAAGATTTAATTCAATTCAGCCTAGACCAAAGTTGCTTGATTTTCAATTCCTGTGCGTTAGTGTGATGATTTCTGTTACATAGCCATATTGCAATTCTATGTAACTGAATAGAGATGATAAATGCTTTCCCCTCTTTATTTAAAAAAGACAAAAAGAAATAAAAGAAATAATGTATGGAAATATTTTTAAAGGCTTGGTTGCTTTCAGGGATGGTACTGTTTTTGAAAAACACTGAGGATTTGCAGGCAGAGCTCCTTTGGATATGAAATTAAAGAGGAAATATGGTTGACCAAACACTGGAACTCAACGGTATTTGCATATCAAATCCATGCCTATAAATATAAAGAAATTGTGACTTGTAGACTGAACTTTTTCAGATTTGGAAGCAGTTTTTTAATCAAGTACTTTGCTTATAAATTGAGAGTGAATGGGTGTTCAGAGACCATTTGGATGCGAAGGCTAATTCAGAAGTGAAGGATTCATTGCACATAAATTAATACAATTTCATAGCATCATCTATCTAGCTCTGTTTCTTTTTCTTTTCCGTATGTCTTGGCTGAAAGGACTGTTTTAAGATTCCTGGCCTACAGTAAGGAACTTCCATTAACTTTACAGGCTTCTCCTATAGCCATAAGATAGGCTTCACATTATTTGTATTAAGGATTAGGCTATACCATGAGCTCCAGGTACATCATAAAAGGATCTGTAAACCCCAAATACCCATTATACATCAGGACATAATTTGGTAAAAACAAACTTGCTTTTCAGCAAGCAATAAACAATTATCTGTGGACTCGTCGAAGTGTTGCTACTCTTTATTAGTTGTATATGCAGTAGTATGTAGTTTATGATCTAATTAATTGAGCAGAAAAAGATTGCAGCAGCAAATCATGAGAAATAGCAAATTAAATGTTCTATTCTTTTTTCTAGTAATATCATAGGAATACAAAGGAGAGTGAAATTAATAAAGGCTTGGAACAAAATAGTGAACAAAACAGCTTTAAAGAGTGTTTGGCCGTAAGTTTTGGAAGTTAAGAACCAAAATTTCAAGGTTTAGTAATTAAATATATATTCAGCATCTACCATGTGTTAGAAAGTGTATTAGACAACATAGAAAATACAAAGATAAGGACATTGCCTTACCTTTAACACATTTAGATGTAATGATGAAAGGATGATGTCGTAGGAAATAGAGGCCCCTTAAATATTTTTGAGTAGAAAAGCAATATGGGGAAAGTGATGTTCAAGAGGATATCTAGTAGCAGTGGGAGGGAGGAGGTGGATTGGACAGGGGAGGAATTAGCCTGAGAGAAAGCTATTGGGGAAGCTGTTTCTCTCATCTAGACGTATAGCAGATAAGCACAGAGAATATTTGAAAGCAGAAGAAATGAGATGGGGAGAGAGAAAGAAGCACAAGGATCATTTCAAAGAATACATTGAAGAATTTTCCCTAACTCTATTAGCAAAGCATTGCAGTGCAAATAGTTGACCTTATATTGATACCCCGTTTGTTAATGAGGGAAAGTGATCTGGAGCAAGGAGAGGTTCACAAGACATGTGAGCAGTGTCTCTGGGTCTCATGCACCTGGCTGATAACACGGTGCTCAATCTTGATGTCAAGGGACAGATAACTAACTTAATCTTTTCCCCAGGTAATGCAACTGGAGTTTATCTCTGTTACAGGTATAACAGTGTTCCTCGATGCAAGCACTATTGGCTTTCAGGCAGAACAATTCTTAGTTTTATAGAACTATTCTGCATATTGCACAAGATTTGGTATCTCTGCACCTCAAACACTAAATGCCAGTAGAACTCCATTTCCCAGTGATTGTGACAACCAAAAACATCTCACAAATTTTCAAATCCCTCTGGACAGACAGTATGAGTCCTGCATGAATTAAAGGTGACAGCGTCTGTAATGTTACCTAGAAGGAGCATGAGACAACATAATACCTCTCTGCCCTTCAGTTACACTCATCATTTAAGAATTGTTTCCTTCAAGGACCTGAAGATCAAGGCATTTTCTGATATTTGTTGTTAATTTTGATATAGGCAAAGGACAGGTGTAGTGGTGCATGCTTGTAATCCCAGCACTTTGGGAGGCCAAAGCAAGAGGATTTCTTGAGGCCAGGAGTTCAAGACAAATCTGGGCAACAAGATAGAGGGACCCCCTTCTCCACAAAAAAATTTTGAAAAAATTAGACAAGCATGGTTCCACATGACTATAGTCCTAACTACTTGGGAGGCTGAGGTGGGAGGATTGCCTCAGCCTGGGAGCTGGAGGTTGCAGTGAGCTCTGATTTGTGCCAGTGCACTCCAGCCTGGGTGACAGAGCGAGACTGTCTCAAATAAATAAATAAATAAATATATAGTTAAATATATGTATATAGGCAAAGAATCTTGCCTAGATTTTTAGTGTTTCTATTTTCGAAAGTAAATAAATTATTCTTCAAGTGGTTTTTGGAAGTTGTGGAGTAGCAATTATAAAAAAGTGACATATTTAAGCTAATGCCTATGTGAAATACAAAATTAAGAAATCGATGTTCAAAAATGTTTGCTTTAAAATTCAATGATTAAAGTACTATATTTCAAATCTTGTGGCTACTACAGACAAAATACATATTGACAAATGAATGCTTTAATTAATTCAGTGGATTCTTAATACGATTTAGAGACCAAAACCCTGTTTTGTAAACTTAAAATCCAGCCATGTCATTAACACAGAATCACAGATCAGAGGGAGTTAGTTTATTTTCTTCTCTCCAGGTGGTGTTGCACTAAGAAAAATTAGAGCTCTCCTCAGTTATATGTTCCCAAGTATGCATTCAGATCAGCAAGATTAAACACACACACACATACACACACACACAATGTAAGCTAAATTCCAGTTACAGTAGTGATGCAAAAATCTTTCTCTTTCTTCCCACTTCAAGAGAAAAGACTCTGTGAGACTCGGAGGGTCTCATACACCCACAGCCTATTTTGGAAACGGAGAGGGGTTGTGCACCTAAAGAAGGCAGGTGCATGACATGTGGGACAGATCTGCACAATGAAGAATTGTCCCATTTCAAAAGCCAGTAACACCTCTATAAGGAATGAAGGTAGACCAGTAGGCTGTGAGGTGATCGCCCCCAAACTTTGCCCAGTAGTGGCATTTCATATAATATAGCATATTGTATAGCATCTAGCTGATCCAATCAGACAATCCCCTCAGGAACAGTGACTGTGAAACTCACACATTGACACAGGCTGGAGAAACAAACAGGCAGAGGAGTAGGGCTACAAAGGGAGGGAGTAAGAAGTAAGAGAGAAGCAGAGGGAGAGAGAAGCTGAGCTGTGAAAGGTGCTGTGGCAGCAATGGTTGGGACCCTCTAATGACATGACAGGTTCCCAGACCCGCAGCAGAAACCCAGAGCTGGGGCTGTGCTGTCCTGACTAGTGAGGAACAACGCCCATTTCTCTTTGGAGACGTAGGTGGATGAGGTGCCCATACAGCCACTCAAAGTACAGCTGCTCTAACTATACCACCAAGTGCACTACAGTATGTGTTTTCTCTTCTGCAGAAAAACTTGATAAGCCGCAAAATAGAAGTTCGCTGATTTTTACTTTTGAGTGACTGAATCTATCTCATACAAATGCAGTCCATAAAGATAGGACAAAGAACACTGCCAATTCTTGAAAGTCAGCCTAGGTAGTGCATTTTCCCTACTTATCCCTCAAAAAAGGAAAAAAGAAGAAAAAGATAGGGAAGGAAGAAAGGAAGGAAGTCATCAGTCTTTGAGATACATGAATTCTGAAACCCAAATCTAAAGTTTCAGCTTTTTAAAAAAGCAGGAGGCAAATGAGAGTGATGTGTTTGTACTCCCTGGAAAGCGATATTACAGGGATTCAGCTTTCTATATAGCAGGAGATGAAATTAATTGCCATACGTGTGTCACAATAGCAGCTATGAGCTCTTATAAGCCCTGAAGTAGTAAACTGTTCACACTGAATTTTGAGGGCAGATTTACAATCCAGGGTGAGTTATAGAAATTTAAACAAAAACCTTCCAGAAAAGTAAACAATAGTGATTATGACATACAGGACATTTTGTTCTTTGGAAAAGATAAGAAATGATGAATTTATATAAAAGGTTATTGTACCATCTCATTCAATTATTGAATTCTAAATTAAATCCTCGAGTTTGTAAATGGCAGAGAACACAACCCGTCTGTTCCAAAAGGACACTGATTAAATGAAAAGAAAATAAATTTCAGTTATTCTTTGATTATAAGCATGAGCAATGGCTGGAGAAGATTGGTAGCTGTAAGCAGAGTCTGATGAACAATCTATTCACTAATTTTGAGATCTTTAATCACAAAATAAGGCCTTCTCTCTGTTCTTATTGATAAAATGTTTTCAATTAGTTTTCTAATATCAAAATCCTGTAACTTGTGCTTAATTTTTACTGATATGGCTATATAATACTATGGTAGAAATTTTTTCTATTATAAAAACAATTTATTTTCTAGAATAAACAAAATAATTTTTTATTTAGGTTTTTTTTTTTTTTTAGAATCCAATCCAGGTGAGAGATCTGATTTTTCCCCAAATCTCTCTTTAATGTCTGTCTATATTTTCAATAATATTCATGCAGATGTTTATGAGGATAAAATTGAGAACTCATTAGTTTGACTCTTTTACATATCATACCAACAGTTCTATTAGAAGCCTACTCTGTCCATTCGATAGTATGGGAAGATTTGGACATATAAATGTAGAATATCTCTAGATTCTTGTTTCTATTAAAAACAATGAGTGAGATGTGTACCTACGGGGGAATGGACACACTTGAAGCTCAGACTTCAAGTGTGGGGAGGGAGGGTAAGGGCATCATACGTAACCTAATCATCTGTACCCTCATAACATGCTGAAATAAAATAAAATAAAATAAAATAAAAACTTCATCTCATTATTTGCAAATATTTCATTTGATCTCAAGAATTAAAGTTTATTTATTATTTGAATATATTTTCTTTTCTTTTTTAGGAATTGAATTAGAAAAGCTAGTGGTTCGGTATTCTTAATGAAATATCTTCATAGTGTTCTTAGGCTTCGTTAAGTTTTATTAAGGAGTTATGGGGTTGAAGGTTTCAACAGATAGTCCCTTTTATCTCACATTTTGACAAATACATCTGCTCAC